TTTGTGTTTTTTTTTTTTTTTTTTTTTCCCAAGGCTAAGCTGACGATTTCATCCACGTGATATAGCTAACCAGTTGGCTTCCTTTTTTTTGTGAAGTCGTGAAGTGCGAACCTTTTTGTATCTCCCTTTTGTGCGCCTTCTCTGGAGAGATAGGTGGATGATCGGTTTCGCCAAATCAGTATAACATACATGAGCCTATGGGCGTGGACCCTTTCTAGAGAGTCTGTTCTTGCGTGAAGGCCCTTCACCTCCGGGTGTGTCCTTCCTTTTTTTTTTTTTGGTCCCTTCCAGTTTGTTACTTCCCCAAAGGAGTCACCCGAATGAAAGGACGCAGGGACCCCTCCTCGCTGAGCTTTCACCTCCGTACAGAAGCCCTTTCTGCACAAATGGGCTGCCTGCGTTGACCGGCTGGACCTCCCCCCTGTGTGCATAGCCAAACGTGTAGCACGACAGCGGCAGCGCGAGAGGGGTCACACGTCTGTCACCAGACTTTACACAGGCTGGTGCACACGTGGCCACGTCAAAATGAGGAAAATTCTGCACTCGAATAAGCTGATCAAGGAGAATGGAGATATGCTCAGGCGGAGGTTCCACGTGGGTGGGTACGCGAGCAGCGACACCTTCAACCCGAGTATGGCTGCCTACATTGAGGGAGCCTATCAGACATGGCGAAAAGACAGGTAAGTAGTGAAGTGGTGAAATGGGGAATCTGCGAAGAGGCGCGACTGGTGGGAGATCTGCTCATCGGTGCGAAGTGACGCGGCGAAGTAGCGCGCCAAAGTGAGACCCTTAGACTCGCCGCTAACCCCCTTAGCGCTACACCACATACGCCCCTCCCCCTTCGCAGGAACTCGCTGCACCACTCATGGGACCTCTACTTCGCGAAGATGTCCGAAGAAGCGGGGCCTGTCGGGAGCACCTCCCCTCGCGTGCTGACCACGAAGGAGGAAGCAGAGAGGGAAGTTCGAAGCAGAATAGGAGGGAAGCTACTCCCAAATCGAAGCAATAGCAATCTTCGGATCACCTACGTCAACAATGAGATGCTCGATAAGGGGAGAATGGGAAACATCTACGACATTGCCCGAATAGTGCAGCTAATCAGATGGTACCAGAAGAAGGGTCACCTGTATGCAAAGATAAATCCCCTCCCCTTGCCGAATACGCCTCCATACAGTAGCGTGGTGAATGAAACGGATAAGAAAAAAATGAGCTACTCGGATTTTGGGTTCACGAAGGATGACCTAGATGCAGAATTTTCCTTCGACTTGCCATCCATTACTGGTTTTTCCAGTGATCAAAAGGAGACTAGCACATTGAGGAGTCTAATAGACAGATTGGAACAGACCTACTGTGGGACGATCGGATTCGAATACATGCACATAACGGACGAGAGTGTTGTGAATTACATCGTAAAGAGGATCGAAAAGGATCGCAAGTTCCAATATGATAACAAGGCGAAGAGAAAGATCCTAGAGAACACAGCTAGAGCTTTTATATTCGAAAATTACATGGCCGCAAAGTTCGCTACTACGAAGCGGTTTGGAATAGACGGATGCGAGACGCTCATTACGGGGATGAAGGCCCTGATCTCAAGAGCGGCGATGGTACATATTGATAGTGTCCTTATGAGTATGTCTCACCGAGGTCGACTGAATGTCCTTTTTAACGTACTACACAAACCGCTAGAAAATATGATGTCTGAATTTAGGGGGAAGACAGGATTCACGGACAACATTTGGGGGAACACAGGTGATGTGAAGTACCACTTGGGGGTCGAGATTGATCATTTGGATGAGGAGTCCAATCGGTACATCCACATGGGGATAGTAGATAATTCGTCTCATCTCGAATCGGTGGATCCCATTTTAATGGGACAAGCTAGAGCACAACAATACTACTGCAATGATAAGGAGAAGGAAAAGGTGCTACCGATCACCATCCATGGAGATGCCTCCATCGCAGGACAAGGCATCGCATACGAGACCTTACAGATGTCGAAACTACCCAGTTACGACGTCGGAGGGACCATACACATTGTCGTGAATAACCAGATTGGATTTACCACGTACCCGGTGGATGCAAGGTCGGGGAAGTACTGTACGGACATCGCAAAATGTATCGACATTCCGATCATCCACGTGAATGCCGATGACCCGGAGGCAGTAACATACGTCTTCGAGTTAGCACTGGATATACGGAACAGGTTCCACATCGACACAATTATCGACATCGTTGGATATCGCCGATTCGGACACAACGAGCTGGACATGCCGAAATTTACTAACCCGTTGCTCTACGATATAATAACGAGGCATGAATCTGTCTTAGACCTCTACAGTAAGAAGCTAATCCGCGAAGGAGTAATCACTCAGGAGGAGTTTGAGCAAAACAAAACCGATATATACAATCTGTATGAAGAAGTATATGAAAAATCAAAGTCCTTTGTTCCGACCCCGAAGGAGAAATACCTCCCACAGTGGGAACATATGGTAACTCCGCAGAAGTTTTCTCCCTCGAGAAAAACAGGAGTGGAAAAAAAGGTCCTCCTTGATCTGGGGAAGCAAATCTTCACCATACGGGAGAACTTCCATGCTCATCCGATTATCACCAAATTGTTTAAAGCACGTATCGATAGCCTAAACACAGGAAAGAACATCGACTTCGGTACTGCAGAACTGCTAGCATACGCAACATTGTTATCGGATGGATTTCATGCTAGGCTCTCCGGACAGGATTCCCAAAGAGGGACCTTCTCTCACCGGCATGCAGTACTCCATGATCAGCTTACCTACGAATCGTATAACATCTTCGATGCTCTCAAAACACCACACAGTATAGAAGTGAATAATTCCTTACTCTCCGAGTATGCAGCTTTAGGCTTCGAAATAGGGTATAGCTATGAACACCCAGATGCACTAGTCGTCTGGGAAGCCCAGTTTGGTGATTTTGCCAACGGGGCTCAAGTTATGATCGATAATTACATAGCTTCGGGAGAGACCAAATGGAATAAGCAATCCGGTATAGTAATGTTTCTCCCTCATGGGTATGATGGACAGGGCCCTGAACATTCTTCTGCTCGAATTGAACGGTTTCTACAGCTCTGTGATGATAGAGAAGACATCGCCACGTACTCGGTGGAGAAAGACAAAACGATTATACAACAACATAACATGCAGGTAATTAACTGTACCAAGCCATCCAATCTATTTCATGCTCTGAGGAGACAAATGCATAGATCCTTTAGGAAACCTCTCATTGCAATCACTCCAAAGAAGATGCTCAAAATGAGAATGGCATTTGATATAATCGAAAATTTTGTCACATCGACGGAGTTCCTTCCTTACTTACCTGAACAACAAGCACACAAATTAAACGCCAAGGATGATATCAAACGGATCATCCTCTGCTCTGGACAAGTCTATTACGATCTTCTAAACTATAGAGAGGCCAATGAGATTAAAAACATTGCCATAGCTACCATTGAGCAGTTATCTCCTTTTCCCTTTAAACAATTCATGCAGGATTTACAGACTTATCCAAATTTGCGAGATGTCATTTGGGTTCAGGAAGAACACATGAATATGGGTCCCTGGTTCTACGTCTCTCGACGTATCGAGGCAGCCATTCAGCAGCTCAAAAGGGACAATCCCGATTGGGACATCGCTGTGAAGCAGGTCTTCTACTCTGGAAGGGACGTCTACGCTGCGCAGTCCGCCGGAGACCTCAACCTCCATCTCTACCAGCTCGACGAGTTTCTGCTTGACGCGTTTAACCTGTCTAAGGCGCACCACATGCACGCGCACAAGTACGCCGCGGTGGCGCATGGGAGCGGCACGGTGGAATAGTGGAGCGGCGCGGTGGAGAAGCCCATCGGAGCAGCCCATCGGAGCAGCACATCGGAGCAGCGCCGCGGGGGAAGTCATGTGCCTCAAAAGAGGGAGCGCGTCTCGCTACACCTGCACGACTAAGCGCGTTCTGACAAGACGTCCCAATTAGGGCAACCACTCCAAGCGGGGGCAATTATTATTTTATTTATTTTTTATTTTTTTTCTATTCTACACTTTGAACACCTGCGAATGAGGCGGCACTGGAGATTCTTCATTTTCGTTGAGAATTTTCGCCCGGCTCTCTCCCGTCGCGTATCGTAAACGGAGTCAGATCGCAAAGTGAAGAACTCCGAATGGGGTGTACGTGTGGAGTGGGTTTGCTAGTGCATCCCTCGTGTCGTTAGATGGGTCCACTTTGTGGGGATCTCCCCCCAGATGGATATGAAGAGCACACACCGTGTAAGAAGTGGCCTCTAACATGTTGCGTTTACGTTGCGTTTACGTTGCGTCTACGTTTCGTTTACGTTTCTCACTTTTATGGACGGGCAGTTGCACCCCAAGGGGAGCGTAGACAATAGAGAGGGTACATGTAACGGGGAGGTCTCCTTTCGGAGGGCCCCTTAACCGTGGTGTAAAAGTCTACCCATGTTGGGAGCCACTCTAGACAAGCAAAATGGCTTCCATCTAGGGGTTACAAAAAAAAGAGAAAAAAAAAGAAGCGCGGTGCGAACGGCAAGCAGCGCAGAACCGGACAAGAAGTGATATAGCAGCGGCTCAGCAGCCGTCGAATAATCGCCACCTGCCTAACAGCCTACGCGCCGGCCTCCGTCCGGGTGAGGAGCCCCTTTCGGACGAGGTACTTGAGCATAAACTTCGTGTAGAAGTCGGTGGGAAGGCCCCGGCCGTGGGTGTGCTCGCGGCGTGGACTGTCCTGCGGCGTCCAACACAAGCATACGAGCTTAAACGATTTGGAAAAGGATTTCACTCGGTCGTTATGGACTGCCTTCAGCCGGTCAGCATAGGAGTTGTAACCCCATTCGCAAAGGTACAGACGAACCTTTTTGCTGAAGCGACTATCATTGCACATGGCATTGAGATCTTCATACTTGTGGTCAATTATGTGGATAGAAACATCGTCTCGATGGTACCTCTCAATAACGAAGTTAATCAAGTCACACTTCTTCCTCAGGATGTCGAGGTAATACCTGTGGTTAAGAAAGTGGTAGTCTCTTTTTTTCGTCTTCTCCTGGTGTTTGAGATATTCCAGATCGACATTATATGGGTCGTACAGATAATCATCCTGAAGATCGCCCTGCTGTCCTCCCTTTGGGGAAGCCTCTTTCCCTGCGAAGTAGGGTGACTTGAAGAGCTTCTTCAAATTGGCGATGACCGGGTTGGAGTCGCCCTCGCCCAAGGAATCTTCCTCCTTCTTAAGGTAGTCTTTCCCAAAAATGCGAAGAAGGTGGGAATCCTCCTTATTAGAAATGTTAACGCCAAACAGTTTGAGAGTGTATTCAATATAATCGGCATTCTCCATCGTAGAGACGACATAAATGGGTTTTTTAAAAACATTTATGTTATGATTAATCACATCGACTGCACATAGATTAAACGTCCTGTGGTTCTGCCTCTCCTCCTCACTTAGCGCTTCACAAGGGTAACGATACTGCATCAGGTGGGTATACGCATCTTCCTCATACGTCAGCAGTAATCTCCTCGTTCTTTCAAATTCGGTTCGAACCCATTTCGGATCGACTCCATATCGCTGATACAATTTGAGGTTCATTTTTTTTTTGTAAAAATCGTCAAAATCGTAGTGGAAGCTGGGGAAGACATTCACCAAATTCTCGATCTTCTTATATTTGGTGATCTTGGATGGGTTGAAAGTGCCTTTGGTGAATTCCTTCACGAGATTGTAGATGTGTTGTTGGGCTCGCTGCTCCATGTGCGACGTGGTTAGGGTTCCGTCTGGGGATGCTGCCCCCATTAGCGGTTGCTTCGAAATTGCTTCCTCGAGCTTCTCCTTCTTTTCCTCCCCGTGGAGATACTCACTCACTTGTTGCAGCTTCTCCTGCATGACGTTCTTCTCTCGACAAATGCGCAGCATCTCGTTAATGTCATAGTTGTGCTTAGTGCATATCGCATCGATCTCGTCAAAGACATACTTAATTGAAATGACTAAGTCTTCTGTTGTTTTGACAAATTTGTATAGATAGAGAAATCTCGAGTAAAGGAACTTTGGGATCAGTTTCAAAAGAATGAAGGGGTCGTCACTCTGGGGGGGAACAACACTGATTGGCTCTCCTTCCGTGAAGAGATAACTCCTCGATTGGACAAAATTGTACAAGGCCAAACCATCGATGGGCTTCCCATTGAAGAGAAGAGAAGGGTGGTACCCCTTCCAGGTGTCTCTTCCTCCCACAAACTTCCTCTGAAATAAACGTAGAAAGGTCAAAAACGCGACAACAATCTTTTCCTGCTTATTCATGTTTATCACTCCGTCGAAGTTAAAAATGTACATGTCGTCTGGATAATAGTTTAGGATGTAGGGCAGTTGGTAGTTTGTGTCTTTGTATATGAGGGGGTTCTCCAAATAGGTGTCTTTTTCCCCACCTCGGTTGAGCTTTATGTAGTCCTTTTCCTTTTCCAGATGGACATTGGCTAGCTTCTGATCAAATATGGGCATCCTCTTTACGTCCTTCACCTCTATATCTTTCAGAAGGTTGTAGATGCAGATCCCCTCGTCGTAGGCAGAGGTCGTATCGCTACTACTGCGAAATATGTTGACGTTCAGGTTTGAGTTTATTTTCACCTCTTCCGCTTCGAATTGGTTAATTTTGAGACTTTGCTCCTTTGGGTCCGTTTGGTTTGGCTCGTCCGTGATGAGTTCCCCGCTGCCGTCACCGATGCGTTTACCGCTGCCTTCTCCGGTGCCTTCCCCGCTATTTTCATCGCATCCCTTCGCCGCTTTCCCCGCCTTCCCTGCCTTCCTCGGCTTCCGTTCCCTGGAGGCGCATCTCCTTCGTTCCCGCGGGACAACCGAATGGCTGAGGAAAAAGGTGGCTTGCTTGCTCCCCTTCGCGCGACCTTCGCACACGTCCAATAGGAGCAGAAGAAGCAGCGAAAGTAGCAACTTCGGGAAAGACATTTGGCTATTTTTCAAGAAGTAGAACCCTCCCACCCGCTTCAACGTACTGCTTACTTCCTCAACTGGGGCCCACGAAAGGTGGTCCTATTTCACAGTAGATTCCCCTTTCGAGTCTTTCCTTCCACCTCGATACGTTTATGTGAAAAAAAAGGGGACTTTCCCCCCCTTGGGACCCCTAACTATTTGTTGTTTTCCCTGTTAATCACTCGGAGGGGGCACATCCCCATTTGGCTTTTCCCACCTACACCCGCGGGTCATACTCTGCACTATCGCGACATACACACACATACCGTACATTGCATAGGAATGAATCTCTCGTAATGGGCTCCAAGAAAAGCAGTTTTCGTAGAGGCGCTGTTTACCTTAGGGGGGAGAAGCCCACCTACACGCTCAGCTGAACGAATTGGCCATGCTATTTTTCCCGCGCAGAAGGAATGTTCTCCCTTTAGAGCACAAAAAAGAAAAAAATGATAATAAAAATAAAGAAAAAAATAAAATAAAAACACTACCATAAAGACTACCACAAAGACTACCACAAAAACTACCACTGACCCTACCACAGTCACTACCACCTAACAGTTAACTCATCGTGGTCGCAGCGCTCTGGTGCTGTAGCTCGTGCATCGGAAAAGTCCGTCCCATTTATTCGCAAAGCCTTCCTTCTATTTCTGCACCACAGAAGGGGACTGTATACTTTTTTTTTCTTTTCTCCGTCAACGACAGAGGCTAACTCACAGCGCAGATATAGCAGCTGTGCCTACACGTTCAGATCGGGCGGGGCTGCAAAAATGGCAACCCCTACACATAATGAAATCGATTGGCTTAAAATGAAGGATGGAAGCGGAAGAGTTCCCTACGTGTGAACTCCGCTTCAGTTGTATAAGTCACAAAAAAAAAGGAAAAAAAAAAAAAAAAAAAAAAAGTAAAACGGATGGTCGTGCTAGCCGCTTTCTCAACATATCCACGCGGGAGATCCCCCCCAAAATGATCCGCCCTCCTTTACAAAATGGGCCGATCTGCAAAGACGATGGGGGGATTTTTTTCCCTATGTAGGTGGACCCGTCTCGGTAGCTGCTCACCCCTGCGTGATGGAATAAACAGCATAGAGGAACCAGTAGGCCTTGGGAAAAATCTCATTTTCGCACTTATACTTTATTAAAAAAAAAAGGTAGTGCATCTTGAAGAAGAACAAAAAAGACACAAAGTACTGATTATATATATTCGCCAAGTGGGAATTTTTTTTCTCGCAATAAAAGACACCATTGAGATGGTTAAAGAAGTGCTCTTTCTTATTTGAAGCACCATTTGAGGCAGCATAGGAAGCACCATGTGAAGCCCCATGTGAAGCCCCATTTTGGTGTACTCTCTTCAAATTACTTATCGTAACTCCTACAGTATATTTTATGTTGTTCATGAAAATGCAGCCTACACTGGTTAACATCTTTATGATGTTATTTTCGTCCAGGTAAATTCTTTTTTTTATTTTTCTTTTCATTTTTTTTAAAAAGAGAAAACTTCCATCGCTGCTTGTGTTGATTGAGTAGATCGCTGCATCATCCCCGTTGTGATCTTCCTCCGTTTCGGTCATCGACGAAGAAGTGTCACTTCTGACGTTTGCGCTTTCCCGCGCCATCATCATGTAGGAAAAGATCGAATCGTCCATTTTTTTTTTTTTTTTTTTTTTAAGGAGCCTTTTTTCCCCGTCATTTTTCACCCCTTCGGCGGGTGTAGCGTTTTTATGTTCCCTTCCGTTTGGTGCCCTCTCCTTTTTCTTGACCCCCAAGCGGGGGGAAGCCCTTCTTCGCTTCTCCTTTGAGAAATACAAACTATGGCTACTTCCGTCGCTGTGGTTGCTGAGATGGGTGCTGTCGCTCCGATTGTGTCTAGTGCGGGAGTGACCCCCCTGCTGCTTCTGCTTCTCCTGCTCCTCCCCTTTGCCCGCTTGACCAATCCGTTTTGAAAACAAGGCATGGCCCTTCAGCTCGTCAAAGTAGAAAAGGTACGCTTCCACTGAGTCGTTATAATTGGCTTCATTAAATCTGCGCAAAGCGGATTCTTTGTATTCCCTATTCAGCATGTGGTTGTACTTACAGATGCAATTGCAAAAGTATCTTCGGTTCAGTTGCTTCCTCTTGTCACTCACAAAATTGAAGTCGACACTACACATGGAAATGCACAAATCTAGGAAAGAATTTAAAATAATGTCAAATGTGTTCATCAGCAGGGTAGTTTTATTTCCACATTTGCTGGACATGGGGGAGAGGCTACAATTGAGATTCTTTTCTTTCCTTTTTTTTTTATTAAAAAATTTTTTCTTCCTTAAGATCATTTCGGTCAATTGTTTTATCCTTTCGAATTCGCTTCCTTCCTGTGGGTTAACTGTTGTACTTAGGTCTCCTTCCTGCGTGTGTGACCTCATCACGCGTACACTCGATCTCTTTCTGACAATCTTCATCCCGTTGTGTGCCGCGAAAGGGGCAATCGCTGCCTCGGATGTATTGCCTAGATTGGCCTCCATATCTGACAGGTAGTAAAGGGTCAGAAGTAGGGGTATATTCATGTCTACACGCAAATGGGGTGTATCTTCGTATCCCTGTCCGTATGTGGCGAAGTACCTTTGGAAAAGCCGCCCTTTTCCTGTGTGCTCACCTGGCAGGTGCCCACGGAGAAGGCGAGACACTCGAGAACCAACACATCGATTGCTATATTTAAACAACAGCTTAATCGAGTAAGAAAGGAGCACATTCAAATATGTGCAAGAGAAGTAAACGTTATGAATATGCATGAAGAGATAAAAAGAATTTAATACAAAAAGGACGAACTCATTTATGTTGAACCCATTGTCTGCGTAGAACTCCTTTGTGTAGTTGTACATAGAGAGGTTATCACTGGAGTCACTATTTTCATAGGAGTTGCAATCCGATTCGATGAAATTGTCATTTTTATTTTGCGCGAATGTAAAAGGGACGTCTGAAATTTTTTTTTTATTCTTCCTGTTTAGTAGTGGACAGCCACTGGGTGATTGCATATATATGAAATTTTCCTTTTTTTTTTCTTGCTGAGATTTTTTTTTTTTTTTTTTTTTAATATATTCAGCTAGCTCCTTCGAATTTAGGAGAGTCTCAATTTGGTTGTTAAAAATCTTGTACGTGTACAATCTGTTTCTTTTAATTTTTTTTTTTATATAATCGTTATGTATTAGCGTGGTGTCCTTGTGCAGGCTAGCCATGTGCAGGTGGTTTCCTGGATGGATGGTATGCCTCTCACCCCAATGTGTTTCCTGTTCTGTCTTCTGCTTCATCGATGCGCTGCTGCACTGGTCCACTTGTAAAAGGTGATAATCTCCCTCGGTTGACTTTTTCATGTCTATCCTGTTCATATAAAAGGAGAAAAACTGCTCACTGCAGATAATGCTTATGCTTTTTATAAAGTCTTGCAGTCCCCGTGCGTTTTGCAAGCCGCCAGCAGTTTTCAGTTCGCTCTGGTAAAATGAGTAGATTCTATTCCATTGTAGGTTCTTCTTTAAAACATCCTGCAGTTCTTTCTCCGCATCGTACAAGGGGGTGCGTTGCCTTGACATTAGGGGGACGCTCTGGATGGAAGCTGCTTCGTCTACGTGGTCCGCTTGGTGCGGCGTCCCTGTGTTTGTTGTGCTGTCCGGTCCTTCCTTGGGTCTCCCTTCCGAAATGGCTTCCCCGGAGGGGCGGTTCTCCTGATTGGCGCGCCTCCGGCCATGTCTCTGCGTGTTCCCACCTGGTTTGTCCTCGCTACTGCGTTTCTTTCCGTTGCCACTCTGCTTCTTTCCGTTGCCACTCTGTTTCTTTCCGTTACCACTCCTCTCGTTCCGGTTTCCACCCCTCTCCATCTGCTCATCCACGACCTCATAGTTCAGACTCTCAAAGTCGCCCCTAATTTGGAACGCGTGCAACAAGCTTATGTTTCTACTAAATACGGCCGAGTAGTCCCTGCTGGCGTCCCCTCCGCTTGTCAGCGTGTCCAGCTTCGCCTGCATGTTCAGGCGGTTAATGTGCTCCCACAGTTTGTCATTCGGTTCGTCCCAAACCGTGTGGTAACCGTTTCGCTTCTCCCCCCGCTCTCCATCACTTCGATCGCCCTTTTGGTGAAGCCTCCCCCCTGCATGAACGCCCTTTTGCACATCCCCCTTAAAAAGATCCCTATTGTTAATCGAGCCAGTGATGTTGACTCCGATGTGGTCCTCTCCTCTAGCGGAAACCTCACGATACCCCCTCTCCCCTGCTTTACCATTACAGTCAATTTTAAAGAATCGATTGGAGCGCTCCTTTATCCTTTTGGCTACGTACATGAGGTAGGGGCTGATGATGGAATCCTCCCTCCGCGTTATTAACACCCTCGTGAGGTACACGTGAAAAAGTGTCGGCAAAATGGACAGGGAAAAATAGAGAAGGATGTACAGATGCTCATAATTTAACTTGTTAAACATTAGAAACATGTTTTTTAACTTATAAAAATTGTTGATATTGAAATTTGCATTCGATGCATGTGCCACTTCTCCGTGGCATGAGTGTTTTTTTTTCTTCTCCCCATAGTCGAAGTCACAGTTGTAGTTGCAATGGAAGTCACCTTGGTTGTCTCCTTCCGCATCGCCCGACGCGTGGGAAAGGAATTTACTGAAAGTTTCTCCCGAATGGGAGATTTTCTCCGTCTTAATTGTGTTTCCAACGCACTTGGATTCGCCACGTGTATCGTTAGCTGCTCCATGCTTTACCCCCTTCGTAGAAGTGGACAAATTGTGCTGACTAATAAGGTGCTTCTCTGTGTCTTTAAAGGTGTTACCACTTTCGTTCACTTCAAAGATGGAGCAATTTGTCTTCCTATTCCTGTTTTGAATTTCCCGTTTTTTCTTTCTTCCATCGTTGTGTTCATAATTTACAAAATCGCTGCTTTCGCTCGGGTAGGTGAACAAAAAGTTGTTTTCTCCTTCCGTCCGAGTCGTCGAATCTACGTGTTGTGTAAAGGAAGTGCGGTTGTACCATATGAGTGCACATTTGGACGTGTGTGCAGTGACCATTTTGCTAATCCAGCTAGCCATATTGTACTGCACTGGACTGTTTTTTTTTTTTTTTTTTACCGTTATGTTCATATTTTGCCTGACTGGTCAGGCAGTTTTTATCATTTTCCCGTAGCCCCGCTTCATTCACATCCTTGTTATCATAAATTCCCTTCAGACTACGATACAGCTCGTTGAAATAGTGAAAGTTGTTGAAGTAGAAGTAATACTCAACGAGGGTTAAAAAGTGCTTATAAATTAGGAGCAAAAATCGGTCATCCTTGTCTCCACTTGTGAATGTGCATATGTAGAGGAAGTGATTAAATAGCTCGCTATTGATTATTAATGTGTAGAGAAATTCAATGTATATGTCCGTTTCGTGGCAGCACAGGTGGAGTAGGTTGTGCACGAGTTGTTCATAACTGGTGAAGACGTGGAAAAAGCTGCATCCTTCTGGGCTTTTTTCATTATATTTTGCTTGCTTCACTGCGTAGTTTTTTTTTCCCCGTCTTCCTTTTAACCCCCCACCTGTCTCGCTGTTGCCGCTTCTATTTAGGCTGCTTTTTTGTATCTCCCCCCTGGTCGGGTAGCTTCCAGTTTCGCCCCCCACCTCGCACTTCCTCATCTTCAAAAACGTTACATATTTCTTTCTGTAGTGTGATAAGCTCCTGGCCAAAAAAATAACTTTCTCTACGAGTTCGTTCACTTTTTCATTGTACACAAAACTGGTTCTTACGTTTGAATGGTTAGTTTTCATCATTGGGTGTCATGTCAGGGGGGAGGGATTACTTCTATTTGTTGTATTTATTTTTTACCTGATCTGGTTGTCTCCATCCCTTGCCATAGGCCAGTTGTTCCGATTGAGAAGCGGAAGAGAAGGAACTGATTTTCTGTTCTCTTCCGTTCCCTGTTGCCTTTCAACTGATGGTATTTTTTTTTTTCCAAGTGACTTTTCCAAAGCGTTCCCAAAGTAAAGTTTTGCATCATCACATAATTCGATGTATTGTCGAAATTTAAGCTCTCCTTTTGGGTTTATATTTATTAGGGTTTAACCCTACCGAGTGTGTTCACCTTGCCCTGATGTTAACTTCCACGTTTATCTAACTTTGGCACTCCTCTCTTTCCACTTGAGAAGATACCCGAACGGAGGGCCTGCCTATTGGCACATTTGTTTGGAATTTTTTCCTAACACGGTTCAGTAGGCGGTGCAATGGGAACAGGTAGAATGAACAAGCGGGGGGAAAAAAAAAAAGCAATATTCATAAATGACTAACTTTTCTAAAGAGAAAGAATTGCCTTTTTTATGTACACCTTAAAGAGTGCCACATGATTTGTTGCTTTTTTTTTTCCCCTTTTGTATATTTCCCCCCTAAGAACTAAAGGGGAAAGAAAATGCAAACGCGGGACAACATTAACCGCTCCAGAATGTGAAAGTTTCCACCTTTTGGACGTGGAACAGTTGTGTTTAAGCAAGGGGGGTATATAAAGCTAAAGGGTGGCGAGCAGGGGAGGCGATACCTCAGTTTATGTAAAAGGTACGCCTCCAAGTAGGCACATATATACTTAAGCATGGGATATTCGCATGTGTCGGTTGCTAACGTGGGGGAATGGTCCCAACTCAACCACGCGCGCCAAAAAGGGAAAATCACAACAAAATCTTTAGAAACGTCTGAGCAAAAATGGTCGGGGGTTAATTATCTTCCCCACATCGTTAGAGGCGAATGTGAAATTGACTCTTTAACGTAAGAAATGATGCCTCCATATGAGGCTCCAAAGGGACTGAAGGACTACTCTTCGTAGAGCCCTGGTCACACGCAAAGGTGGAGACAATAATGCGTGAGCTTTGTGCACGCTTCCCTTTTGCGCGTATCCTTCTGGTTGTATTACCCCCATGGAGAGCGTGTCAAGTAGAGAAAATAAAAGAAAGGGACCCCCCCTGTGAGAGGCAACTGGACAAGACTAAATCCGTAGGGGACACAAGCGCCCATTCATCCGGTTCAACCGTGTCATTTCCGCGTCTATCCTAGTGGAGCAGCCTATGCTCATACACATCAAAAGGGAGACGTGCATCTACATTGAATGGCACCCATGGGAAACAAATACAACCTCTTCCTCATGCGGACGGCCAAAAGAACCTGTTTGAGGTATTCTCCTTAAAATGGCCGATGGTGAAAAAAGCTGAAGTGAAGCAGCTTCGTCGCCCTTCAAAGTATATATGACTACCACGGGGGAAAAATATTTTCAAAAAAAAGATGCGCATTGACTGCTGGGGAGGGAGCAGCGAGCGTGATTTCAAATTGTGGTAAGATTGGAACTTCCCTCTCTTTTTGTTGCTTCGTTTTGTTTCACCTTTTGGGGCAAAAAAAAGAAGCATACTCATGTGTACCAATGTACATGCACACTCTACAGCGAAGGTGCCAGCTGACTGCAAAAAAACTAAAAGTGCCCCACCACACTTCGCGCAACGATTTGTTATGTCTTTATTTCTCATCATTAATTACGCGTATCGCGGCTTTTGTTTGGGAAAACATAGAAATGGACCATTGTTTGTTTTTTTTTTTATTTACTCTACTTTTTTTTTCTACTTATTTATTTATTTATTTTTATTGTTTATTTATTATTTTTTTTACAACCAATTTTGATAATCTTTGGGCTACTCCGTGTGCATTTGGCTATTAACCAAAAGGGGGGAGAACTTCCGTTGGATTTTTTTTTTTTTTTTTT